GTCTGTAGGTATTCAATAATTACATAGTTGAAAAATTAACAAACTTTGATTTCCTATTTCACATTTAAAATTGTTTTTATTAAATTGAAGTTAATAGTATTACCCTGTTATTCTAAATAGAAGTCCTGTTTGTGCTCCATGATCATAGGCATAGCATCCACTGAGTATTGTCAATCCCTGGGGACTCTGTCCAGTGCTCTCTGATGGCCGTCTTCCTACACTTAAAAAGTATTGAGAACACACCCAAGAAGCTACTTTATACATGGGTACAATCTGTTTTTTATTTCCTAAGAGACAACCTAAAAATAAGACTATATATGTGAAAGATGAATAGATTTCATATAAATTCAAGAATTTTCTAAAATTCCAGCCATGTGACATTAAAATATCAAGAAAGCCTTGGATATCATGGATCTACCATAATCTGAACCTGGTAATGGGAAGAGAACCCTTTACTGCTTAATAGAAGAAATGAACCAAAAATGCCTATCTTGATGTCCAAATGGACCAGGTCTCCCAAACTAAGATGATCATGGAATTTGCCACCCAAATAATTTCACTTGGGAGAGTGATAGGAAGAGGTATGAATAATTTGCTAGGACAATAGACATAAGCCAGGAATGCCCTGGGAAAAAGAAAACATACATTTAACTTACCCAAAACTAACAACCACTTATTGCTTTTGTCTGTCAATGAACATTTCTTTAGAAATTTTTGAAAAAGTTAACTTCTGTCTAGCTTTGGTAACTACTTTTATAACTTTCTCGATTCTATGGATTTATTTTCATTTCTATGAATGTGCAAGACAGGAAAGGTCTCAGTGCTGTAAACAAAGCACCAGTAGCAATCTCGAGGAAGTGTAAATTGTTTTGTTTCCTTGGCTGAATTCTTAAATTTTACCTCCATTTTTATGACTTACAATGAAAAGTCCTAAATATTACATTTTTATTTTGGCATCCAGTAATACCCTATCTGCAAGCTCGGGGAAAGTCCATAATTCAACATTTTCTAAAGGCTTTTGCTGCTGTAATATTTAATCTCCTTCCTTTTTTGATAAGAAAATAATAATGATGCAAAGAATATGTTTTTAATTGTGTGTTGAATAATATGTATTTTGTGTATACTAATATGTATTTTTATAATCAGATTTACCTTAAAGAATTATCAAGTAATCATTAAATATAAGTTTTTATTGGGAAATAATTTAAACAAAATAAAATACTTATATACGAAGGACACAGTTTGATGAGTTTTAGCAAACCTATATAGCTTTGTAACCACTCCTCTGATCAAGATACAGAACATTTCTATAGCACTCAGGCACAGTCACTCTTCTGATTTTCATCTTCATAGTTTAATTTACCTAGAAAGCAAACAAATTAAATACTACTATAGCTATGTATCTAAATATCTATATACAGACATATACATTTGTCCATATAGCCATAGATATTAATATCTAGTTTTGTCTAGTCTGCCTTGTTTGAGATTCAGCTGTTTTTGCACCAATCAGTATTCCATTCTTTGTATTTCTGAGTAGCAAGCATTGCATAAATATAAAACCATTTGCTTATCTATTCATTTGATCATGAGAATTTTGTGCAATTTCAATTTAGATATGAAAATCTGCTATGAACACTTGATTTATTCCTCTTGGAAATGGAAATGTTATACCATTTTACATTTCACACAGTGCTTATGAGTTCAGTTGCTCAACATCCTTAACAACACTTGGTATTGCCAGTCTTACTCCCTTTAGTTATTCTAGTGGGTGTGACTTGGTAGCCCAAGATGGTTTAATTTCCACTTACTTGATTAATAATGATGTCAGCGCCTTTTCATGTACTTACTCACAATTTGTACGTCTTCTTTAGTGGCATACCTGGAGTGCTTGATCAGAGCACTTGCCCATTTTTAATGGGCTAATTTGTCTTTTTAGCAATAATTTTTATTATACTTGATACATCTTGTCCATGGGCAAAACTAGGAAAAAATGCCCATATCCAAATCTACATTTTAGGTTATATATTAAACTATATACAGTAATACATATATAACTATATATACATATAGATGTACATTATATATATCAGTCATATATTGATCACTGCATATATTGATTTTTATATTTTGAAGTAATCTTAGATTTCTGGACTAAATCTATGTGGCCAACGTGTATTATCCTTTTATGTATTGCTGAAGGAGATCTGACAATATTTCATAAAGGATTTTAGCATCCGTGATCATAAGTGCTATAGGTCCGTAATTTTAATACATTTTCATTTCGCTATAGCACTTGTCAGTGTTGGATTCAGGGCTATACTGATTTCATACAACAAATTGGGAATGTTTCCTCTCCTTGCATTTTGTGAAAGAGTTTGTATAAGTTTTGCATAATTGTTTCCTGAATTTTTAATAGAGTGGACTAATGAAACCAACTGTACCTGGGGATGTTCTGTGTATAGGGACAAAGGATGTAGTCTTAAGTCTCAATTTCACTTATTTAAACAAAATAAGGCTATTCAGATTTCCTCTTTTTATATTAATCTTAGCAGATTCTATTTTTCAATAAAAGTTTTCATTTCATTTACCATTTTTTTCTTTACTGAATAGTGTTTATATTTTTTCCTTTTTACACTTCTATATCTCTAGTATTCATGGTGATGCTCTGATAAATTGTGATTTTTCTGTTTCTTTTACAATTCTAACTAGTTTTATTTGTTTTATTCATCATTTCAAACAACCAACTTTTGTCTTTATTATTTCTATCTTATGTTGGTTTTCTGTTACCTCCATTGTTTGTTTTCTTCGACTTACCTTGAATTACATTAAATCTTTCTTCAGATGGCCCTATAGAGCGAAAGGCGATATTTTTATCATAAACCTTTTCTTCTTGCTAATATAAAAAATTAATGCTATACATTTCCCTCTAAGCTTCATCTCACAAATATTTGTTATCTTTAAATTATCTATAGCTTCTAATTTATTTTGTGGTTTCCTGTGCATAGCTTAATTTATAAATATTTGGGAAATTCTAAACATTATAGAATATTTTATCTCTTACTTAATTCTGTAGTGTCATAACTTAAAATTTTTTGCCTAGCCAAAGGTCACAAATATTTTCTTCCATTATTTTTCTATAACTGTTGTGGTTTTAAGTTTTACATTTGTTCTCTAATACACTTTTAGCTAATTTTTGAATTGTTGATTGAAATTAATTTTGTTTACTGTGGATATCAAATTGTTCTACTACCAGTTGTTTTTAGATAATCCTTTTCTCAATGAATTGCCTTTGCAATTTAGATGAAAACCAACTGATCATGTGAACTTGGGTCTAATTTTGTAGTCTCTATCTTTTTCCTATGATCTCTCTGTGCATTTTTACAACAAGACCATACTGCCTGTAATTAAGGCAGTTTTATTTTGAGCTTTGAAATGCAGCAGTACTACAACTCTGTTTCAAGCATGATGGCAAATTTGGTGTCTATTAATTCATCTGGAGTAAAAGAAAAATCTAATTCTTTCACAAACTATCTTAAAATTATTTCAATTGAATTTTTACTTTGAAATAATTTCATAGTTAGAAAAAAGATGTAAGTATAGTACACAGAATAACTCTATAACCTACACCCATTTTATTCTAAGTGCAACATAGTACATAACCATTAACAGGTTAACGTTGCCACATTGCCATGAACTGAACTATAGGCTTTATATTCAGACTTTACCTTTTTTCCACTAAAGTCTTCTTTCACTCCAAGATTTTATCCAACACACCACATTGCATTGGGTCATCATGTTTTCTTGGTCTCTTCCAATCGATGGCATTTTTTTCGGGTGTTTTGTTTTCTATGACCTTAATAGTTGTGATCAGTATAGGCCAGGTGATTCATAGATAGTCTCAATTTTGGTTAGTTCAATACTTCTTCATGATTAGGCTAGGTTTATAGATTTTTGTGAAGAATATCACAGAGGTGAACATCCTTCTTATTTCATTATTTGAGGAAGGTCAGGACTTATTTCTGGTAACATACACCTTGCCCACTTGGTTACAGTGGCGCCTGCTGGGTATCTCTATTCTACTTGGACACAGGAAAGGGAGCATCACACACCGGGTCCTATTATGGGGAAGGGGTAGGGGGGAGGGATAGCATTAGGAGAAATACCTAATGTAAATGACGAGTTAATGGGTGCAGCACACCAACATGGCACATGTATACATATGTAACAAACCTGCACGTTGTGCACATGTACCCTAGAACTTAAAGTATAATAAAAATAAAAATAAAAACATAAAGTTACTATTTCTCACTTTATGTAGTTTATTGTTTGAAAGTGAGTCTCTAATTCCAACCCGCACTCAAAAGTAGGGATATTCAGCTCCACTTCTTGAAAGGAGGTATATGAACATATATTATTTGGAATTCCTCTGCAAAGAAGACTCCCCTGTGCCATATATTTATATCCATAATCAATTTTATACCAGTACGAATTCATATTCATGTATGTTTATTTTATATTTAATATAGTGCCTATATGTATATACATACTATGTAGAGGATATATACACACACACACAAACACACACACGCTATGTTATGTATATTCTTGCTCAAATTGTACAAACTTTGGCTGTTGTGAGTTCTTTCAGATTGGGTCCCATGTCCTTTTAATATAACCTCATCTTTATTTAACTTCTATTTTTGTCACTATTCTACTTTCTAGCATTATAATATGCGTTACGCGTATCCTCTATTTTCCCTGCCTCAAGTAGAGAATCAGCCATTTTTCCAGGAAATCCTGGTTCATTTCGTTAGAGAGTAATATTTGGAAACTGAAGAATGGCACGTGCAGTGTGTTTATGATTACTGGAATTACAGTGCTTCTAGATCCCATGCATATGCACAGCTAGGGAACACATGCATGTATCCTAACCTGCATGCTCATATAATTTATGTATCCGTCCGTATTTGTTATTGAATTAAACAAATTCATAGTACCTCCAGTTGTAATCCAGAACCACGAGCTTCAAAGTCAGTCCCCACCATCCCTCCTGGCTTCTTCCTCTGACAGAGAAAATGCTGAATCAATTTGCTTAAAGTGGCATCTGCAAGGTTTAGCTATTCCAAAGTCACTCTTTAGAGTAATGTATTACCTATATTTTATTACTTATTTGTCAAACCCTAGTGTATTCGTAAAGCGGTTTCAAAATTTCTAACCTCCATTTCTGTAAAAAACGAGTTTCCCAAATAAGGTACAGTGATTAATTCTTTAATTCTATAATTCTTTTGTCTTTAGCTTACCTTACAGTTTCCAGTCAAAGCAGTTCTTTTTCTGATGTTTCTCAAGTCAGCTCTTATTTTTCCCTCACCACCTTCAGTGAAGTTTGTTGTACATTTATAATACAGTTTGATTCATTTTTTACAGCCTGCATTCCATTCTGACATTCCCTGTCGTCCTGGTTGATTTTTTTAATTGACCTGTCTTCAAATCTACTAGATGACTCTTGACAAGTGCGTAGAGTCATGTATCAACCACCCAGGTATCATGCAGAAGAATTTTATCACTTTCAAAATTCCCTGTGTCCTTGTTACATTCAATCACTCCTGCCTTTGGTTTTAAATACAACATCAACAGGATATATGGTAAAAAAAATTTAAAAATTGGACTTATAAAACTTTAAACTTTTGCTTTGTGAAACACATTGTTAAGAGAGTAAGAAGACAACTGTATAGTGAGAGAAAATATTTGCAAATCATATATCTGATAAAGAATTTGTATCCAGAATGTGTAAGAAAACTTAAAACTCAACAAGAAAAAAATAAAGAAAAAAAATCATCTCAAGACTTTTAACAGACACTTAACTATAGAAGACATATTAATGGCAAATAAGAATATAAATAAATCTAAATTTAAACCACATTGAAAGGCCACTACCTAAGTTTTAGAATGTCTAAAATTAAACAAAACTCTCACAATATCAATGGCTGGTGAGGATGCGGAGGCACAGGAATCCTCACACATTGATTGTTGGTTGCAATATGACATAGCCACTGTGGAAGACAGTTTGGCAGTTTTTTAGATAAGTAAGCCTGCCTTACCATTCAACTCAGAATTCCCACTTTGTTTTGCATGTTTGTTAGTGTGTTTTTGATTTCATTTTTAGACTGAGTTTCGCTCTTGTTGCTCAGGCTGGAGTGCAATGGTGCGATCTTGGCTCACTGCAACCTCCCTGTCCCAGGTACAAGCGATTCTCCTGTCTCAGTCTCCCAAGTAGCTCTGATTAAAGGCATGCACCACCACGCCTGGCTAATTTTTCTGTATTTAGTAGAGATGGAGTTTCACCATGTTAGTCAGGGTGGTAACAAACTCCTGACCTCTGGTGATCCACCCCCATCAGCCTCCCAAAGTGCTGCGATTATAGGCGTGAGCCACCATATCCGGCCAAGCATTCCCACTTTTAAACATTTACCCTAGTAACTTGAAAGCATATTCACACGCATACACGACACACACGCACACACACACACAAACACAAGTTGGATACTCTTTAGTTGAAATATTTCCTTATCCTCATACAAAATAACATTAAGTATAGGTATTTTATTTTTCTAATTTTCTTTCCAAAGCACCTTAATAAGTTTAACAAAATCATTTATCTATATTTAGCTGTATTTCTACAAGTTTCCACCTAACATTCTATACAAAGATAGTTCAAGTCATCTATATATTTTTATTAGAATTTGAATATGCATATTTTATTTCCCTTTAAATGCATTTAGATTTTATTATTCATAGATATCTAATTATTCAAAAATATATATCTACTTTTAAATTACTTAAATAAGTAAACTGCTACCTTCTAAAATATGTGAAAATACAAACAAAAAGTGCATTTGACAATAAGGAGATTTTTTATTTTGGGACAATCATTTCTGCTTTCCCTAAACTTTGTTGGGTGAGAAAAATATTTCAGTTTGTGTTACTAATCCCTGAAGCAGAGTATGTCAGCATGAGTTTCTCTACACGCCCCGGCTCCCCGACAGCCAGGACTTTTGCTGTAAGGCAGTAAATGAAGTCAGGCTTCATCCCTATAGTTTCATCTTGAGTAAGTCTACAAAAGGGCCCAAAATTCACATTAGTGGGCTTCTTGTTTGACTCTGATCTGCAACCAGGAGTTACTTCATGAGTTTCACATCTATTTTTTTGAATAATAGTTATGTATGAATTAGTCTAAAAGTAAGTATTAAAATATCAAAAATACAGTTATTTCCTCTGCAAAGAAGCAAGCAAATAAAACTGAGTGTATAATTCCATCTAGCTATATATATGTGTATATAAATTTTTCATATTGATCTGTTTCAAGACTTATTTTAAAATGTGTCTATAGTCATTGTCACCACTAGCTCTCCATGAAGATTCTCCTCAATCCATTTCAATGAGGCTCCCCCTTTTCTCCGAAGACTGCTCTCCTCCAGGTCGCCAGAGCTCTGCCACTGTCACTCCTGGCCCCCTCCCTATGTTTGGCATTGCCATCATTCCTGAAGCACTGAATCCCCCCAGCATGGGGAGCACCACATGTGACTGGTGTTCCTACCTCATTTGGTGCTGCTTCTCATCTCCTTTTGTCATTGTTTTGTGTCATCTTGACCTCCAAAGCCCAGAGCACTACAAGCAGCTCAAGTCCTGTTCTCTTTCTTGACCTTTATTCAAGATTGCTGACCTGACAATGCTACTAGAAGCTTTCATAGGTGTCTTGAACCCAGCGTAAGAAATACACATATTGATCCCTTTCCTTTACATAAAAAATGCTCTGTGTGCCTCATATATGTGAGTAGAACATTCATCCACCCACTGCTCAACTCCCAATCTACAGCCGCTGCTCCTGCCCAGTCTCCTCCTACTCATTCTTACCTGTTGATCCCTGCAGTGTAAATGGAAGCACGATTCACTCCATCCCCGTTACTGCCACGGTCATGTCTATCATTTCCCTAGATTCCTGAAGAAGCTTCGTAAATGATCCCCAGTCCTATTTTTGAGCCCTCCAATTCACCCTACAGTGCTAAAGCATGAAACATATGATAAAATTCTCACCCTTCGCTTACAGCCCCCAAGAGGACCTGGTCCCTATATAACCCATGGAAATTCTTCCTGAAAATCTGTATGCTGCTGGCTCCTCCTCTCTCTAATATGCCCTGCTCAGAGGAGCCCATCCTTGATGACCTCACCTAGGTATGCTGGACCTCATACTCACTGCTATCATTTCACCCTTAGGTTATTCTGTCCTATCAAAATCAACACTATCTGAACTATTGTCTTCATTTGTATGTTTCCTTCCTGATTGATTTCTCCATCTGCCTTCCATCTGTGGCCTGATCATACAATGCATTCTAAGTAATTTGTCTAAAAAGTATTTCATTTAACCATTAAGATGGTTTTGTATAGCATACCTTGAAGTAGCATTGTTCAAAGTTATTTTTTTAAGTAGGCATTTCATTCAATCAGATGAAATTTTCTAGGCTAAAGATTCTAGTCAGGATGTTGGAAGTGAAGGTGTATGACTGCATCTGTGTGTCAACGCTTCTGATCAAATGTGTCAGCACTCTGGTCCTGCTCTCCAGGATTCATGGACTCAAATCCATACTGAGGTTGATGGAAGGCTTTCTGGTAACATGTTCTTGTTATGCTTCTCAGTTACCTCATGTTAAAAGGAATTCTAATTTTTAATACTAATTAAGACATATGATATAACTGTTAATAAGCAGCAGTGAGTAGCTGTATTCCAATTTCTGACCTAGGAAGTAAGTCTTAATATCTTACTCTCCATTTTCAACTAAATACAAGGCATCTTTAATGGAGGTTTTACTCAGGAATATGTGGCATATCCATTATACTAAAATACACTCTAAAATTAAACCAGACCAATAGAGTTGTGCACCCAAACAGTAACATATTGGTTCTTTCTAAATTGCTTTTACAGACTGCTTGCTAAGTGATTCTTATCAAACTTGCATCTGAGCAAATGTTATGCATATGTATGTTTGAAAGTACGAGACTATTTGGCACAGTTTGGTGGGAAAAAGTATCCATAAAGACACTTGAAAAGTGATGTTCCTAATATGAATAAGTCTTTAATACACAGAAGCAATTTCTGCTATGCCAGTTACTATTTGCCACCCTAGTTAGGAAATATTTTCTAGAATCATCCCTTCCACTGCCAAAATGTAATTGTATTCCCCTTTTCTATTCAGTATTTAAATGCCAAGGGAGGATAAGGAACGAACACAACTTTTTCTCAATAAAAATTCAGTAATACAAAATATAGCAAAGCAAAACTTGAAAACTAGACAGGGAATTTTGTCTTGGACAGAAAGTGACATTATTATGAGTATTGGAAATGAAAAACACTTAAACAAATTTCCCACTAGAACATTTCCCACATGGAGTTCTGTCAGGTCGAGGTAGCACGGTCATATAATGTAATTGTTCTGGGTAATGGGAGATACTGTGGACTTTATTTATTTTTATTTAATTTAGTTAATTTATTTATTCATTTTAAGATGGGAGTCTTGCTCTGGCCCCCAGGGCTGGAGTACAGTGGAGTGATCTCGAGTCACTGCAACATCTGCCTCCTGGGTTCAAGCGATCCTCGTTTCTCAGCCTCCCAAGTAGCTGGGACTACAGGTGCCCACCACCAGGCCCGTCTAATTTTTTTGTATTTTTAGTAAAGATGGGGTTTCACTATGTTGGCCAGGCTGGTCTTGAACTACTGACATCAGGTGATCCACCCACCTTGGCCTCCCAAAATGCTGGGATTACAGGTGTAAGCCACCACACTGGCCATGGACTTTATTTTTAATTTCTCTTGCTTTTGCAAAATTTCAGTGAGAGGTTTTAACATGATGAAATACACTCATCAACCTGTATTCATATGCTTGTTAACACTTGTATAAAGTAAAAATGCAAGTCATTAGAAAATTTTACTTCATTTACCAACAGCTTCGTTAACAAACTTTATCTCCTCCCAAATAAACCTAATTACAAAGTTATCGACATTTTTTCATTT